TTTTAGATTACACATGTAAGTAAAATCATACAGCATTTGTCTTTGTCTGACTTATTTCACTTAGGTCCATCTAGGTCCATCCATGTTGTCAAAAAGGCAAGAGTCCATCCTTTTTATGGCTGAGTAATATTCCATTGTATATATATACTACTTCTTTATCCATTCACCTATTGATGGGCACTTAATGTAGCTGCAACCATTTAATCCTTTTAAAAGAATTTAACTAGACCATGGAGAGGGGAAAGGCACTAAAATTGTTGATGGGAATATTTATTGGAAAAAATCTTAATTGGGAAGGCATTAGGGCAATTTCTATCAAATGTTCAAATGTTTTTACCTTTCAACACAGGATTTCTACCTCCAAAAATTTATGCTACAGGTATACACACTTACCTGCAAAATAACATATGTAAAAGATTGTTGTCAATTATTTTTAGTTGTAGTATCATCTGTAACAGCAAGATATTGGAAACAACCTATAAAATGAAATTATTTCCAAAATACAATGCTGAGTAAAAGAGTGAAGTAAAGAATAATATGCACAGACTGTGATAATTAGTATTTACAAGGACAGAAAATAATATACATACATACTGGCTCATATACACATAAAATATCTCTGGAATAATACACAAGCATTGATAACATTGGCTGCTTTCAGGACAGGGAACTGGATGGGACAGATGGGATGAGTGGGAGACTTTTCACCATATACCTTCAAATACCTTTTGAGTATTAAATACAAGAATGTGTTGCCTATTTGATAAATAGATATATATTTAAACAAAATTTGAAGTAACTCATCTTGGCAGTAATTAGGTAGCTAAAATAATACTTGGATAATTTAATGATTTGGAGGAAGAATGCACTATGCATGCCTGAATATAAGAAGAGATTCCCATCTCCCCCGTTATCTTTTTAAAGGAGAAAGTTAGTTGATTTACGTGTAAGCACATATAAAATATCTCACACTATAGGTGCTTTCCCAGTTACCTTATTTTGAACATCAACATTCTCTTTGCCAAGTCGCTTCATTTTTTTAAAGATCAATGCTATCGTTGCATGACCTTAGAGGTTAACTGACGGGATTTTTATAAACAAAGAAACAGAAATTTAACAAAGTTTTATTTCTCAATAGGTATTGGATCTGGTTTAAAAATGATGTACTTTATGGTTTGGAGATCAAAACAACAATGAAAAATATGTCTGAATGTTAAGCTCAGTGGTTCTTTATCTTTTGCAATATACTTTCCAGGGACAATTCACACAAGAATGAAAAAAGTGCTGTACAATCATAGGTGAATCTAAAAATAATATTCTCTGGAAAAAATTTGTTTAAAAACTTTAAAATTTTCCTAGTGATGACTAAGAGACTGAGGTCAAAGATATAGTGAAGGATTTTTAAAAACAATCATGAAACTAGAGTGGAATAAAGTAATATTAATAATTACTTTATTATTTTACATAAGCTTTTAATATGCATAAATAAGGTAATTATTTTAATATTGTAAGTAGACATTTGACTACCTCACTTGCATCTGTAAATATTTGTACGTTCAAACTGACTAAAAAGAATCTTTAATTGGATCTTCTCTTGAAAAAGTGGGGAATTGCCTTATTTCACGATCACCTTATATTTGGTAATGTAAGATATCTTGAACTTTCCCAAATAAATTTATTTGCAACAGTTTCCAAATCTGAAAGTGAGATTCCTTTTGCTTTGTGCTTTTCTAACCATATACCTTTTAATGTACTGTTTCAGATTCAGACAACTTTTATTCCACAGCACTATAAAGTATCTTGTAACTACATAGATGGCATAAAAACAGGTAAAATTGCCTTTGGATCACATTATGTAAGACGGATGACAACCCAAGGAGTAGATAAAATCCAAAAATAAAATCATTTTAATAAAAGCTTAGGTCTCTTTGAGGCTTTATTTCCTGCAGTGTCAAGAAGACTACAGAATAAAAGCCTTTCTGTTTCATTAGTAAAGACCACTGTATTATCACGGAGTTTGCAAATTATCCACAGCTACTTCAAATAAATACTTCTTCACAGTGCAGCACTCTTAAAATATTTGGGGTTGTCTGAACAAATCAAATGAACTCATGCACCCATGGGAAAAAAATGCATGAAAGTTGAAAACACAAACACTACTGTGGCTTATGGAATTTGTAGTTTAATGTAAACAGGGTGGCTGAAATGCTAATCTTTTATTTATTTAAAACAACGAGGAAGGTCATGAAAATAATTCACCATACTGATTCTGGCATGTAAGGGAAAAGTGAAAACCCTGTCAGCAAAGAAAGGAATGTTAATACAAAATTAGTTTGCTGGATTCAGCTCATGTTGTTTACTGTAGTTTTGATGGTGAGAGCTCTCTTTTTCATGAAGGCTAAAAAGTGGTTTGTACGCTTTGTTTTATGAGTGATGCCTATATAGAGAGTAAGGATTTAATATAATTTTTAAGCCTAAAATTGGTACTCATGGTGAGCTAAAACCATAAATCTTAATGAATATGTTTTTAAAGGACACATTTTCCTGTATATTGTAAGATCGTCGTTTACATGTAAATAAAAATTAGATTAAGCCATTCATTAATTTGATTAGTAATTTCCAACAAAATTTCCCTATTATTTTGGTGGAATTCCTGTACTTAAGGCTTTCAGATGAAGGTCACATGAGCAAATCTTGTTTTGTCAGGTGGATGGTCTACGGTATACAGAGCCTTGATAGAAACCAGCTGCAATGACCTGACATTGGTTCAGGCTGAAAACTCAGACAGTGCAAACAAATACTATATCTTAGCTCAAAATACTCGCCACATCTGCCAACAATTAGTTCTGTATCAAACCTAGAAGGGGGCAACGAAAAACAGGATCAGATTTCAGAGAAAGCAAATAAACAAAGGGCCCTGCATCATTAGTCATCAAATGGTTGCAGAGGTACCCAATTTCTAGACTAAAGCTCAGGCTGTCAATCCTATGGTTCAGCAGGTAGTGTTAGTTAAGAGAGTTGCAGGGACGTTGCAAGTTGATAGACTAATCAGGCCATTGACTTATGGGTGCCACCCAACAACTGTTTATTATTCTAGATAGCAGAGACCATCCAGAGAGGTTAGAGCACTAACCTTCAGCAATGGGAGGTTTAAAAAGCATTCAGATGTCATCTACTGACATTTCTGGTCAAGATTTATGACACAGTTCTAGGTGGCAATAGATAAGAAAAAAGACCGATTTTTCCTGCTGTCCTACTTTCTCCCAGAAATTCACTTTTCTAACTCTCCTTTTAGCCTTCCTTCAACTTTTCTAAGACAATGGGTCTATTCAGGATGATTTTTAAATTTTGATTCTAAAATGTGACTTACTGGATGGGTTATTCCTGGTATCATGATTCATTTTGGTGGCTTTTTTGGTTCACTTTCCAAACCAAGAATTGTCAGTTTCCCCTATGCCCCTGTCAAGTTGGCTGTCACAGTTGGCTCTCCATGACTTAGCACATTGATGGGCAGATACTACTCCAGATAGTGAATTTTAGGCTCGCCTTCCAACCAGAGTCAGTAACTTTCTCCCCTTCTCCCCTCATGGTAGATACCCATCTTAGAGAGCTGAACTGCTGGATGGAATAGACCTACCCAGGGTAATGGGCTTTTCCCACAGAGCTTCCCCCATCACTCTGTTCCTTCCAGTAAACTTTTCTCTTCTCTTTTCCCTGACTTGTAGTTCATCACTTTTTCTGGAATGTTAATCAACAAATTCACTCTTAAGTCTTATCTCTCATTTCTTTTTTTGTTTAGCTGTGTATCAGAGATATCGGAAAATGAAGGACAAGATAGAGGAGATAGATATATAGATATGTATCTCTGTATATCTCTATATATGTATGGAGAGAAAGAGAGTCATATGTTGGATTACATTATCTGCAGAATGTAGATAATTGAACTGGGTGGGGAAAAAGATTTATTAAACAAATAATTCTTTTAGATCCAATCAACGTTTATTCAAGAACATTATTTTAAATATTCATTAGTAATAAATGAAAAGTTTGGCTATAGAGTCTCTTCAATATAAAAAGAAGATGGACTTTTCTACTTCTGTATTCCACTTGAAAGAATAATTTAATTAAAAGGTAAAGCTAGCAGGAACTTTATAATCTGCATGCAATGCAGGATATTATATAATGACCTTCATTTAAAACCCAAATCATTAAAACTAGTAAGTCTAACTGGTGACAAGGAAGATTTCAACATCCGGCCCAACAGCTTAAAAATATGAATAAAAATCATAGCTTAAATGAATCAGTCCATTGAGAACTTATCGCAAAGTAAAATGAGAGAAGAAGAAAGTTACCTAGGCAATGAATCCTTCTGCTGCACTATTTTATCTTTTGACATGTGCTTCTTTTTTCTTCTCTCTTTTTTTCCCCCAGAATTTCCTCCTCTGTATAAAATAAACCCAAATCTATTTCCTAGGAAAAAATTATTTTAGACAATTTGGATGCACCAGAGAAAATCATCTTTAGAGGTGGTTAAATCACTTCTTATCCACCCCAACCTCATTTGTCACATAATCTCCAGGGAAGTGAGCATTTGAAATAAAGTGGGGGAGCTGCAGCCCCATAGAGGAGCAGAGAGAATTGACTGATAACAATTTCTGGACATTTTTCAGCAGTAAAACACTAGCTAGAAGCTATGAGTTTCTTTTGTGTAACATATCTTTGTTTCGGCATTGACTTCGTATGATGTGACTCTTCAACACAGATAGGATTAGATCAACATTTAAATGGAAGCAAAAATATCTTTTAGTTGTTGAAATTGTTTCTAAGCTTTGGAGCAAAGCAGCATAACTAAGTGAAATTTTTATTACAATTATATAGGTGATACTTCACATTCACCAAATTCTGTTTTCATACTTTTTCTCTCAGACTTTTGTATCTGTTCTTTGTCTGTTTACTTTCTCATGTGAGTTATTACCCCAATTTCCCTTTGTCTCCTCCAGTCCTGAGTTCCCAGGTGGCAAACGATACCAACTTTTCTTCCTCATGATGACTTCCAGAAGTGAAAAAACGAAATCCAGAACACACTGTCTTCTTAGGAAACATGATGCCAGAGTTACTAGAAGAAAGATGAAAAGTAAGTCAAAGTGATTATTTGATGTCGTATAAAAAAAAATTGTCTTGAGTTTATTACAACCTTTAACAATTGACTATGGCCTCACTCAGAAGCTGAATGTGCACTAAAACAATAGAACAAAGAATAAAATATATCCTCAACCACTGAATGTATTTATTTATAAGCAACAACCAGTTTGATTAGTTATTTTAGCATAAACTTACTAGCTGCTCTTGTTAACCAATAGTTTAGTCATACAATTAGTCAAACTAATTGCTCAAACAGATTTGACTAAACAAATCAATTTATAGATATACTGGATATGTGGCATTAATGTAGTAAAGGCTAGTAAGTAACCTTAGAAAGGAAAACAAGACAATAGGGTAGAGTGAATTGTCTTTATCAAATCATTGTTCTATCTTTTCACTATTGAAAATAAGTTTAATTGAAAATAGGTTTCATTGTAATAGAAAAAATATTTACTGGGTTAGGAGTCTAAAGACTGAGCTGTAGTCCTTGGTCATCCTCCTTGTTTGGTCATGTTAGAAAAAGGATGTGTGTACTTTCTGGTCCTCATCTTTTTGTAAAAACATTATGCTAGCTAGATCATCTTATTCTCACTATCTATGGTTGGATGTGATGCTAGGTCTGGAATATGTGTCCCAAAGGACAATACAAATATGAAGCTAGACAGGTCTTTAAGTCACTAAATTTCAATGAATATGTATTACTAATTAATGGTATTGTTATTAACATTTCATAATGCAGCTAAAAAGGGAATAAGCTTGTAACTACGTGAAATATGAAATGATTACCAAAGACATTTGATACTACATAGTACACTAATGGAATTTCTCTTGTTAAAAATAATCCCCATAAATTGTTTTTAATAATTGTCTGGATTTTCAATGACCCTGCTTTACAACAAAATAATTAAAGTTTAAATTAGGTTTATAACAATAACCTTAGGAGACACATAGCACAACAATCTATATGTCTTTGCTTTACTCGGCATTAATTTTAAAATTTTGTTATTTTAACATTTAGTTTCATAGTATATTAAAGCATGTACAAATGAAACTTGGTATGTTACTTAAGAAACAGTGTGAAATATGTCGTTCAGTAGGTAAGTTTAAGTTACTTTTTGGAAACTATTTCCTGGGCATTGTTTAATTCGGCAAAATAACGGATAATGAATTTAATTTGATGTAGTGATGAATAAACACTAAAATATCTCAAATGTTTTTAAAGAGTACTATATATAGTGCATACTATCCTGATAGTTAACTATGTAAAGACTGGCAAAGATTTACCTGACACCCTGTACTGATTTATTGAATCATTCACTAATTCAACAAACATTTAGTGAAGAAAATTTCAGCTTTATCATTTACTAATTTAACCCAATAATTTCACTGAACCTCATTTTTCTCTAATTAATAATCCCTAACTCATATGGTTGCTGTGTAGATTGAGAGGAATAACACAGTAAAGTCAGGACAAAATAAAGTTTTGTTGAACTAAATTATCATTTTCTCCATCCTATCGTACAACAGGTATTGTGTTAGGGCTTTAAGATTCACATGTGAAACACCATTCCTGCCATTAAGAAGTCTCAAAACAAGTGCATGGGTCTATTTATTTTGGGTGTGAGAGAGAAACAGGGCAGTATAGTGATGTCAATGAACTGATAATTACTTTGAACCCACATTAATTGTGGAGATGAAGAATTCTCCAGACTGAGGTACATTTTGACCTAGATTTTAAAGAAAAAATGAGATTTTCATATCAGGGAGCAGAGAGAGGAATATTACCAGGAAGAAGGAACGGCAAGTGGCTGAAATAACCAGCAAGAGGTGAGAAATTCAGTTTGGCACAGTGTGTTGTAGCAGAATGATACAAGACGGCACATAAAATGGGTGTGTACCTGTTATAAAGATCTTTGCATGGTGATCTAAAGAATTTGGAATTTATCCTATAGGTTGGCCCAAAACTAAAAGAGATGTTTTTGGCAGGATCAGTTTTGCCTTGAGCGATGTTACTTAGGCAGTAGAGTGGAGGATGAAAGGTCAGGAGTGAGAATCTTATGACTAAAGTATGAAAAAGGAAGTTGATGTACAGACATGAAGACACCAGAATAAAGGAAGTAGTTTAGAATCCATGGGGATGTCTGGGATAATCTTGGAAAAATAAGTAGAACAGGATTAGAAAAGGAGCAAAGACAGAATCCTATGAATGAACAGTATTTCAGGAGTTCAAGGAGGCGACAGATGAAATAAGATAGATTGTTCAGGAAGAAAAATTTAGAGAGAGTCAAGGTGGATGGTATCAAACATCTCCATCCTCTGAGGCAGGCACAGGGAAGGTAAGTGGCCCCATGAAGGAAAACAGTTTCTTTGCTAGTCACTGTGTTTACTTACTGATTATTAAATCACTGATCTGATTTAGTCATTGTCACCCCAAGAGTTAGGCACTGGGGTTTCAATTGCCTAAGGAGAAATTAGAAGCTAAGAAATCTTCAAAGATTTGCCCAGGATCACACAGCTATGTGAGATGCAATAGGAAAGTATAGCAGCAGGAGGATAGTAAGTTGAGTGAGTTCTTCCATAGACTTTATTTTCTCTGTAAAGACTGGAATGTGGAAAAAGAGAATTCATGAATAAGGTATACTTTGGGAATAAGCTATCTAGAATGTGAAAGGGGCTTTTCCAGAGAAAGTAAAACACTGCTGGACCCTGTGGAGATGGGAATCGGTAACCTCAACAGTAGTACCAGTTTTCATAACTGTGGTTTTCTGCAGCAATGTTTGCCTTCTGAGAGCAGAAGAGAGAATACACTCATGAAGGTTGTATTTCATCAGTTTTGCTCTGTTGGGGGATTTTCATGGACTCTTTAGGTCAAGGTCGTAACATGAAATGCTTATAGGAGTTTGCTAGGCAACTAAAATTCGAGGCACTTGGCCATTGGCTCCCTGGGGAGGATGGAGCTGTGAAGAACTGAAAATTTAAAGGAGCTTCAGGTACGTGGACCCTGCAAATTATTGCCATGAGGAAGCCTGGGTCACAAGATATCAGATCTTCAAATTTTTCAAAATAGAATGGAAATGCAGATTTTAACATAAAGTCTAATTTTAAAATATTGGCTCTTTAAAAGCAAAACTATATTTCATAAATAACCTACAGCCCTAGTTTGTGACTTGTACTTGAAATGACTCTCCTTGTGAACTTGCAGAGGCTAATTGTATATAAAATCAACAATTGTTTTTATAGTTCCGTATACTCCATTCATATGTTAGTCCTAACAGAATAAAGTTTCACCCAAGATTTGGACACCATTCAGAAAATATTTAAAGAACTTCATTTGATGACTTGGCTGTAACCAAACCTGAATCCAGAGACCATTTGGGAGTTGGGATGTCATCACAGTTTCTGTTATGTTTCCTGTATTCTGGTAAATCACATTGAAACGGAAAGACATAACTAGTCAAGGTTTTCCCATACTCTGCACAGTGACAGTCTTCTGGGATGCCTAGGGAAAAACATATTTTAAAACAATTGAAATTTTAAGTTGACATTTCTCAAAACTTTTTCCTATATGGGTAATAAAAAACTGAATATATTATACAAGATAACACTGAGAAGACTAATAAAATGTTTTTCTCATCTTCTACATGCCATCCATGTGCTATATGCTGGAAACACAGAGGTTCAAATCACTATCATCTTTCCCTGGGACTTAAAACAGTAGAAGAAGCACAGATCAGAACTGAACATTCTCCAAGTCTTGTCACTTGCATACAAATGTACAGATGACACAGCACTACTAAGAGTAAATCTGGAGCAGAAGTAACTCTGGCTTCTGACTGATTTCAGTTTCACTTGTTCCTGATTTAGAGATAATAATAATAGATTAGTATTAAATGGAAATAAGTCAAGGTCATGGTTTTTTGGTCATAAGTGAAATTCATCACCCTCAGCCTTTTTTCCTATATCTCCTCTGACTTCTGCTGAAACTTTTCCTATTCAGATGACTTATGTGGAGAATTTGAGTAGTATTTCTGTAGTAGGCTTCAATACGATATTCAGCCCTTAGTAAGAAAATTACACTACCTGTCAAATTGATGTTCAAATGCTACCATGGCTTTATGGGACAGCTTTCCTCTCCTTTGATATTAAATGTTTCCAGTAGAGCAGACAGATTTGTTTCAAGTTGAGATGAGACATTCATTATTAACTCAAAAGGGTTTCATTGGCTGATTAGTTTGCTCTCCAGTCAAGTTCTGAACACTCACATTTCTTTTAACTATTTTTGATCCACAAATAATTTCTTTCTAATAGCTTCAATTTTTCCATCTTCCTATAACTGGAAAGCATTTTTTTATTTCCTTATTTAACATAGAGAAAATGGTACTTCCGGATCTTCATCTTCCCTTTATCTACGTGGGGATAACAATTATAAACTGAGGAGTTCTGGTTTTTTCTAAGATGCATAGGTTTTTGACCAAAGACACCATTTGTGCTCACAATAAAACATGACTAGAGATTCCTTTCCCATAACCTGGTGAAAGACAGTGACATAGATGGTGGGGAAGGGGTGTTCTTAAAGTTATTGGATGGCACAATGTCATGCTGTCAGGAAGTGTTGCTCAGGCATCCTCGCCGTGTCTGGTGGCAGTGTGGTGATAACTCATGTATGGCAGACAGAGCTATGACCATCTAAATTGACCAAGGTTTGAGCTACGGTAAAGGCAAGGCCCCAGGACAGAGTGTCCAGAAGAGCCTCAACTGATGTGAACAGATGTGAGGCATGACTAGTACAGTGAGTTATGAATTCTGTTTGGCAGGAATCCCTTTACTAACCCCCTTGGTGGCTGTGTGAGCTTGGGAATGTTATTTACATTCTGTGACCCAGTTTTCTAATTTGCTTAATGATAACAATATTTCTCACACAAAGTCCTTATAAGGGTAATGGTAAGAAACAAAATGTTGTTTAAATTCACAAATATTTACAGATGCTGCTAT